AATGTTTTGAATTTTTCGAAAATTTTCGTCGTCCCATGAACACTGAAACAGTTAACCGTTCCCAGAAAACCCTTCAAAACTAGCTGATGTGTTAGGATCATCTTAAAATTATCAGGTTTGAAATTATATTTCAGAATCGCAAGGTTTTAATAAACGGTTTAAATTATCAATCCTACGATTCCATTCAGAAAGTTTAGAGTCTCAACCCCGTCTCATATAACCTGGAAACTGTCCTTAGGACAGCCAGTGTAATTCTTAGAGAGGAACAGGCGATTAATCGCTCATCAATCGCCCTCTTCTAGGAGGAACATTCCCTCGGCTATACTGGCGAGCGAGCGAATGACCGAGCGATTACGCGAGAATCGCCCACTAACGGCAATTTTCAAATCTGCTCGCCCGTCTCACAATACGAATCCAGAATACCTATTTTCATGGCCTCTATCGCACGCGTTTTTCGTTGAAGAATTAGGTTCTCTTGGTTGAACTTATCAATATCAATCCGAACACACTGACACAATTTCTTTGAATGAAAATGAACCAACTACAGCTCAACGTCAATTATCCGTCCGTTTTCGTATTAGATTCTGTCAAATAGGGAACCACAAGCTTTGAGCAGTTCTTTTTTGGTTTTTAGGTGAGAATGAACGGGAAGTGATTGAAGAAGAACCGATGACGCCAGAGATCTGGGGAGGAAGACAGTTCAATAGCAGAACAAATGCTTGGCGAAAGCAAAAATTCTGTGCGATAGCAGCAGCCGTTCGTACAGAAGTGAACGATATGAGCGACATCAAGATCAGTGTTCTTTAGGAGCTTATTTTCCGATTAATCGCACTGCCACTCATTCAAACACAAGCGAACAGAAGTTGATAACTTCATCAAAACCCTCAATATGAGAGGAATATGAGAAGGAATGAAGGGTGCGGACGAAAATCGATACTTTCGACAGCCTCTGGAGTCCGGCGGCTATCTGAATGCCCGAAACCATTGATGAAAATTGCTTTAGATATAGATATTCTGCATCAAATAAAGTGTTGATATTC